TCATGTCACCCCTAGTTCTTCTTTTCATCAAACTATACATACCCAGTTCCTGTAACTATTCTTTATATGTTTTATCTTCAAGTCCCCTAATCATCTTTGTTGTTCTTCTCTGCACTCTTTCTAAAGTCTCAACATCTTTTTTACATCGTGGCGACCAAAACTGGATGCAGTATTCCAAGTGTGGTCTTACCAAGGCATTATAAAGTGGTATTAACCCTTCACATGATCTTGATTCTATCCCTATGTTAATGCAAGCCTAGAATTGTGTGGGCTTTTTTGCCAGCTGGAGCACACTCTTGGCTCATATTTAGGACTCCAAGATCCCACTCACAGTTACTATTATTGATCAAGATACCACCTATACTATACCTGTGCATTTGGTTTTTCTTGCCTAAATGTGGAACCTTACTTTTTTCACCACTGAATTTGAAATGCAATTCCACTTTTTTCACTACTGAATTTGAAATGCAATCCCACTTTTTTCACCACTGAATTTGAAATGCAATTCCACTTTTTTCACCACTGAATTTGAAATGCAATCCCACTTTTTTCACCACTGAATTTGAGATGCAATCCCACTTTTTTCACCACTGAATTTGAGATGCAATTCCACTTTTTTCACCACTGAATTTGAGATGCAGCGATAGTTACGAATTAAGGTTTAAGAGGGGCGTCGGCGCAATTCACGAAAAGGAATCTAATGAGCCTGACATTAATCCGAATCAACTGCAGGCATTTTAGGCTTCTTTGCTCAAGAGGTCACTCTTGGCTACTTTCCAGGGGTCTCCCTCCCAGGAAAGCCAGCTTCCCAGGTACTCTTCCGGATTGGACGCGGGTTTTCGCCGGGCGTCTGCTACCAATTTGGCGGCGGAATTGCCCGTGGGCGTCCCAACCTTGGATCGTTGGCGCCTTCAGCGTTCCAAGGACGGGAGGGGAGGAGAAGGCAGAAGTTTGGTCTGCTTACCTGCCGGAAAGTCTCTTTCCACGGTGGGGTCCGGAAGCCCTTGTAAAGAGCCTGGTGCCGCGGCATCAAGCCCGCCATGGATCCTCCGCTCCCGCGGCAAAACAGATATGGGCGGGGCTAGCCGTTGGGTTTACATGCCAAGCTCCGCCACTTCCATCCGCCGAAACTAAAGCATGCCGGGAAATGGAGTCAGGCAAAGAACCTCGGCGCCCATTGCATGATGGGAAATACCCCCCCCCCGGCCTTGCTATCGCAGTCACAATAGTTCTGGTGCATGATGGGAATTAGAGTTCGCATAGTCGTGAATATTATTAGTTTGCAAAATAACGTTTTTTCCCCCAAGCCTGTGTTGGAGAGATACGACACAAGCCACGAAGGGTGTCTCTTTGCTGCCTTCTAATTGTTCTCCAATTTTAAGTCTCTCTTCCCCTCTTCCTTTTCTGGGCTGAGAAAAAAAGATGCTGTCAGGGCCACTGCAGTATGGTTAGATGCAATGGGGAAAGTTACAGATTTTGCTCTCAGGGTTTCGTAATGCTCTTTGATTATATGCCATCAAATCAGTGTCAACTCTTAGGCTAGTAATGCCACCTATAACATGCCAGCTCATGGCATTGTGGAGAAAATTGGAGGCAGGAATATGATGTATATGCTACCTTAAATTGTATAATAGTAGGTGAGCATATACTTGATCTAACAGTGTGACAAACAGCATTACTTGTCAATACTGCTGCATTGCTCTTTCCATTGAAGTGGGGATGATGTTCCAGAAAGCAGGTGCCATGACAGAAAAGGCTCTCCTGGATCCCATCAGATGAAACTCTATGTGTTCTTAAAAACTAATGCTGTTTTTAATTATTGTTAACTGTCATAAATTTGAGATGGACAGCCGTGTAACTTGAAATAATTAATAAAACCAATTACTTACTTGAAATCTCAACAGATTTGATGATCTCATTAAATTTCTCACGAAAACAACAATATACTGTTGTAGGCTTTCACAGTGGGTATCAATGAAGTGGTGATGAGCTTTCAGGCTGAATGGTCCATGGTCTTTTGTTCTGACTTTCGCCTGTACACACACAGTGAGCTGCCTTGTGGTATACTTCTCTGCCAGTTACAGGCAACTTTTAGTCACCATCTATATGAAAAAGTATAATTTCACCCTCAAATCCTTGGTCTCAGCTAGCAAAAATATATTGTGATAAAAGTCTATTATGTTCTGCCTATTTCTCACTTGAAACAGTCTTGATTGTAGCACATTTCAGCCTTCTTGAATTGCTCACTCAAAAACAATCCCTTACCCAGTCATTCTTTAACTGAGTACTTTTCAATGCATTTGACAAATTCCATCACCTACAGCTATTGGGTGAAATTGGTTTATAGTCCAAATACACCTGGAATTACCAAGTTGAGAAAGAGATGGCTAGCAGACAGAGAGATGGCTCAGTTACCAAAAGATAGGACACCTCCCTTTTATTAGTATTATCTGTTCACAACAATGTGATCAGGGCCTGTCTTATTAATCTATTAGCAAACTATTAGGTGCTTTTGCAAGTGAGCCATGAATTAATTTTAAACAAAGCGCCTCCATCTTGATTACTCTATTTGTGCTTTCACTGAAATTCGCAGTCAATTAGCATGCACTTTGGTATCTGTTAGCAAAGAGCTAAGGAAGCTGACTACCAGTGCTTCATATCTTACCAATGTCAGTGTAGTTGGCAGGATGTGGCTTTGTAACTCTGCTGAAGAATTTTGTAAGTATGCTCATTGCTAGTGTTGGAAGAAATGTCCATCTGGGTTCAGTTCCAAGTGGGGGAAAAGACACTGGAAACATGGAGACTGCTTGGAAAGATGGTTTAATGATGGACAGGATCACATGGTTTGAGTTCCTGAGCAGAAAAGGGACGAGATGTTGAGCGTGCCTTGGTTTTATGCCCTTTCTGAGCTTTGAACTTCCTGGGGCACAGGAAGAGTATCCTGATTGGTTGTCAGACTCCCAGAGGGTGGGGGTCTTAGCTAGCCTTGCTGGCTGATGTAATCTTCCCAGGTGTCATGTATTGAGTTTCTGTTGCTAGATGGGTCCTATTCAGTGGTGGGGATTCAGCCAGTTCGCACCACTTCGGGAGAACCGGTTGTTAACTTTCTGAAGAGTTTGGCAAACTGGTTGTTGGAAGAAATCATTAGGGAAGAGAACCAGTTGTTAAATTACTTGAATCCCACCACTGGTCCTATTGTGTTGCAGATGATGGTCCATTGACAAAGGTGGGAGGAATGAGTGAGCTTGGCTGAGGCCTTAATGGCGCATTGAAAGGTGGGGGAAGGCAGGAAGCTGCTTTGTCTTTAAAACATGTTTCTCCATTTCTCATCCAGGGAAATATATTCTGCCTTTTTAATATTTCCTAAAATAGTTCATTCTTCTAGGAGAGGGGTGGGTGCTAACTTCCTACACTAGAACAAAGGTAATTTGCAGTATTCTTGATACACCCAGTCCCAGAGGGTGGAGAGGTTAGGTAATTAAGTGCACCCCCCAAGTTTATTATGGGATTTTAGACTAAACTGCACAGCTTCAATAAATCAGGAACAAGTGATGAAATATGAGGAAATTTTGATGTGCATATGCTTATGATATAAAAAGAGCTTATTGGATTTCAGAAGCACTTGGATTAGTGTACCTCTCTTTAATTCTGCACAGAAATAAATGTGAAAACCCACTTTCTTTGCTCAGTGTGATTGTTGATTCATTATACCAGGTAAAATGAACCAGTGCCAGGCTGGGCCAGCAGTTAAATCACAGCTGCTGATGGTTTGGCTGGTGTTGGCCTTCATACATATAAAGTTCTTCCCAAGGTTCTTATTTAGATTTTTATCCTGTCTTTTATATATTTTGGTCAATTTAAGGCAGTGAATACAGGTAGTTCTCAATTTACAACAGTTCATTTAGTGACCAGTTACAACAGCATTGAAAAATGACCTATGATCATTTTTCACACAACTGTTGCAGCATCCCCATGGTCACGTGATCAAAATTCAGACACTTGGCAATTGGTTGATATTTATGACAGTTGCAGTGTCCTGGGATCATGTGATCACCTTTAGCAACTTTCTGATGAGCAAAGTCAATGGGGAACACAGGTTCACTTAACGTGTTGCTAACTTAACAACTGCAATGATTCACTTAACAACTGTGGCCAGAAAGGTAAAATGGAGCAAAACTCACTTAACAAATGTCTTGCTTAGCAACATAAATTTTGGGCTAAATTGTGGTTGTAAATTGAGGACTACCTGTGTACCTATTACTCCTGCTTTCTATTTTGCCCTCAATGAGGGCAAATGAGGTGGAGTGGGCTGAGAAGGAGTGACACATCCAAAGTCACCTGGACGGCTTTCATGCCCAAGGGAGGCCTAGAATTGACAGTTTCCTGCTTTCCAAGCCAGCATCTTAAACTATATTTCTTTTCTTTTTAATTTTTTTTAAAAAAAATATAATAATTCCATCTTCAATTAAACAGCGTGTCATCCGGGTACAAATATCTTTGTAAAATAATAATCAAAATTTACAACACTATTCATTACATTAACATTGATTCTATAATATTACACATATTTTCTTCTCTCTCTTAACGTATCTTCTCTATTTCACTAATCTTTTTATTTTGTTTCCCTGTTTCTAACTTCCGTTTTTGTTATCTAACCATTGATAAAATTAAGTCCCATGTCATATAATATTCAGTTTGTTCTTTCTCCTTAATTGCTAGCGTTAGTGAGTCTATTCATTTCTGCACATTCTAATATTTTCCTGATCACATTCTCCCCATCTGTGGGGATCTCTTCACTTTTCCAAGTTTGTGCAGATAGGACTCTAGCTGCATCCTTAAACTGTATTTCTTAATGATATATTTCCCCTTTGCAGGGACGGAGGGAGGAAAAACTTCCACAACTTCTTAGATTGACTTCTAACCGGAAAGCGGGGAAAAGAGTGAAAACCCGCCAAGCAACTTTTGAATACTCTATGGTCGCCCGCCGAAATGCACGCTGGGAGCTGTAGTTCTTGCAGTCTGAGGTAGCCAGGCAAGATCCGTTTAGCCGCTTAATTAAGCGACCGACGTTCCACTCGCCTCGCTGAAAGTAACCATGGCGGCGGCGGCGGCGGCGGCGGCTGTGTCGCCTGGTTTAGGAGACCATTGGTGGGCCGAACTGCCTCGCCATGTCGTGCTGAGTCGTCTGAAGGAGCAGGCCTCTGAAGCCGGGCCGGAGACGGAGCAAACCAGGCCAGCCCTCCCGAGGGATCTGATGTTTGGCATCGGGGGAGAACTCTTCCTGTGGGACCGCGAACGTGCCGCCTTTTGCGTCCTCGGCCTGAGGCACCTTGGCGACGACCCGGACAGCTTGGCCTCATACCAGGTGGGGCGTTTCTTGAGCGAGTCTCCTGGTTCTTAAGAGGGGGAAAGGCCAGAATGACGGAGGCTCCCCCTTCATAGCGAGGATGTCGATGATGCTCATTGTAAAAATTGCGTGCTGTAGGGGGGGCAAAAACCCCGTTCTCTTGGAAGGCTTGTTCCAATGGGGAAAAAAAAGGAAAAGATACTTTAAAAGAAAAAAAAACCCCTGCATACTTAGAACAGTAAATCTAGATCAGGGGTTTCCAACCTTGGCAACTTTAAGACTGGTGGACTTCAACTCCCAGAGTTACTCAGCCAGCTTTGCTGGCTGAGGAACTCTGGGAGTTGAAGTGTCCACCAGTCTTAAAGTTGCCAAGGTTGGAGACCCCTGATCTAAAAGAATTCCAGCTTCACCTTGCTGAAATGCTAGCGTTTTATTTCGTTTGTTGGAGCCATTCCTTTGCCTAGGAAGGAATAATATGCCTGTAAACTTTGTGCATCACCTGTGTGGAAGGAGCATTTTCCCCCCCACCCCACCTCCCTTAGGCTGTATTTACCTCATGCACACAGCCATATGCATAGGGAACATTTTTGCCCCTCCAATATTGAATGTGTAAATTTGGGTTGAATCAGAAAAGTTCAGTTTTCCCATGGGGAAAGATGAGGGCATTCAGTGAAGAAAAGTGTGTAGAAGTACAAGTGGCATCTGTAAGAGAACGCCGGACTACAACTGTTCTTGAACTTCTGTTTTGCCCCAAAGTTAATGTCCACTAAAACTTTATACAGATCCCTTAAATTATACTAAATATAGTTTTTATTTTATATCTGAGGTTGCAATTAACTTATTAATAATTAACTTATGTATACTGAGAGCATATACACCTAAGACAAATTCCTTATGTGTCCAATCACACTTGGCCAATAAAGAATTCTATTCTATTCTATTCTATTCTATTCTATTCTATTCTATTCTATTCTATTCTATTCTATTCTATTCTATTCTATTCTATTCTATTCTAATTTTTTAAAAAAACTTTTAATTGATTTTTAGCATTTAATGTCACATTCTCATAATGCAAATTCTGACTTGGTTCTTTTTTGCAATACTTTGATCTATTTATATTTATATAGCTGCCCATCTCACAAGAGAGTGACTCTGGGCAGCGTATAATACTTAAAGAAAACGAACAAATAGGTTTTAAAATGTTATTAAAAGCTATTAACAATTGCCCTTCCTTTGAACTTTGTTATGGGGGTGACTCATAAATTAGATGAAAAGTAGTATAAATATTGGTTAGTTGGTAGGTAGAATGGCTGAAGATGCATGAAAATAATCAGTCATGTGAATGCTTGATCTTGCCTGTAGTGTGAAGCAATATAGTTTCCAAACAGTCTTGTAATTTCTGTGAGATTTCCTGTAATTCTTTTATGTTCTTATTTTACATAATTTGGCAAGACAGAGAAGTGCAATTTAGTTTTTGCTAAACGGAGAATCCAAAGAGGTACATAAATAGAGACTAGTTACTAGTAATACTATGACTAAAAAGCTTCACTTTGTGTGAACACAGTTATTATGTTTTGTAGATTGTGGTTCATGACTTTGCACACTGTGGAAAGATACCCAATTTAAGTTTATTTAACAAATCATGATTAAGCAAACCAAGGCTTAGATTGGGGTATCAGTCTTATGCTAATGGGAGAAATGTCTCTAACTAATCAAATCTGTTTTTGTTTTCAGATTCTTCTCTGCATTAATTCACCCTTCTTTGAGGTGTATCAAACTGTTTTAAGTCCTATGCAGCAGCATGTGGCTCTCATAGGAACAAAAGGATTAATGGTGTTGGAGTTACCTAAACGTTGGGGAAAGAATTCTGAATTTGAAGGTGGAAAATCTACCATTAATTGTAGGTATGTAGAATTTCCATTCATCTTGATTATCAGCTTTAGAATCACCTAAGATGTAGTGGTGCCACTGGATATCAATTTGTTTGCCAAGGTTCTCCTGTCCAATATTGAAAGAGATCCTTTTCAGTTATGCAGATTCTTTAATAGCATCTCCAAGGGGACTCAAACTGACACGACTAGAGATGCAACAGTATAATCCATTCCCCTCCTAACATCACATACATATACAGAGACAGCGATTGGATTGTGTTGTTTTGGCCATTGTCTTTTTTGAGTCCTCCTGTGAACATTGCTGATTTGCATTATGAAAAGCAGTCGTTCAGACTGCTTCACAGGGATGACTGAGGGTTAGTGCGGATAACCCTTGTTAGGCTTGACCTTAAGTCCAGTTTTAGATATTTCAGAACCTGGAGTAGTGTATCCTATTTGTACTACATTTGCCTTGCTTTGTCTGGATCATCACTGGAAGTTTTGCTTTGGAAATGGTTCATCATCAGTTATAGCTATTTACAGTATGGAGGTAGATGCTAAAGATTTCAATGAAAAAGCAGGCGTGTACAAACATTTGGAGAAAATTTCTTATGAAAGTGTTCTGGAAAGCAGTTTGGGACTTGAGAGGGAACTTGAGATTGAGGTTGCAGGGAAAATTTTTAATAGGAGTTAACTGGGAAAGCAGTCAGAAAAATATCAAGCCATTCTAATTCTGTCTCTGACATAGCAGAGACATAGAATTAGCAGGTTGGCCTGAAAAAGTCAGTGGATAAATCTTTTCATAGCATAGTTATTGTAAACATGTAAGCTGCTGGTTAAAGCATTGGAACAGATGAATGAATGGTAGATCTTTTGTGGCTGAAATGCAGACATGTGTTTTTCAGCACCATACCTATTGCTGAAAGGTTCTTCACCAGTTCATCATCTCTGACCCTGAAGCATGCTGCTTGGTACCCCAGTGAGACTCTGGAGCCCCATGTTGTGCTATTAACATCCGACAACACAATAAGGTAACCTTTTCTTGCTCTGAATTGATTGCATTTAAGAGAGTTATAACTCCAAAGAAACAAAAACAGATCTCAACAAGGCCATCTCTGGTTTTGTATGGATACTTTTGCTGCTGCTGCCAACAAAAAAAAGCCCAACCTATATGGAAAATTATTTACCTTAATTGATATATACACTTACAGTTATTCAGTCTGAAGAAATAATCATGTGGGATGTTTTGTTGTTCATTAAAAATTTTCTTTGTTTAATAGGATTTATAGTTTGAGTTCACCACAGACACCTGTGAAAATGATAACTCTTTCAGATGCTGATGAGGAAACATTGAGACTTAATAAGGGGTAAGATTGAATCTTCCTCCTCTCTAGGCATGCTCAGCTATTGTTTGTTTGTCTGGAAACTGGATCTGTGTTTAGAGTCACAGCTGACTAAAGTCTCTGTCTGCCTTTTCTGCTTCAGGAGAACATATACAGCGTTGATAGGAGAGACTGCAGTGGCATTTGACTTTGGGCCTCTAGCAGTACTTCCTAAAAATGTAACTGGACAGAGAGAGAAAGAGGATGTGCTGGCATATCCTATGTATATCCTGTATGAAAACGGAGAGACGTTTCTGATCTACATTAATCTCTTGCGCAGGTAAAGACTTGGTTGAGAAAGTTCAGTTAGTGGCATTCAGTTTGCCTATACACTAGAGAATACATTTTCAAATATAGGAGGTTATAAAGGCACTGAGTGAAAAATAAAATGGTTTTAAAAGGCTGAATGGAAATAACTGTTTCTAAATAACGCATTCCATCTTCTGTCACTGGTATTGTGCCTCTAGCTATTCAGATGTTCTGTCATTGGGCTAACATTTAGGGCACTACAGTGAAACTGATGGAGTCAAGATGGTTTGCATGCAATGCAAGGGAAATACATGGAGGATGTTTCATGGTTATGAATAAAGCAACAATATTACGACACCTAGAAAGTGATTAATTACATCTGATTTGTTTAAAGAAAGAAGCATCTTAAGTATTTTCCAGTTGGTCCCTAGAAGTGCTTAGAGCTAAGTCACTTCTCTGAAGTGTGGCTCATGTGATTGCTTCCAGGAGTGACATTACATTAGATTTTTAAAAAATATACGATTTTTTTGTTCTCAGAATAAATATTAAATATGCGAGACCATGGAACATTTTTGGCTCCTGGTAGCTCAAGTAACTCAATTTTTGCAGCAAACAGTGAAAAGTTTCTTTTATAAAGCAATAAGTTTGGTTTATTTGGCAGGACAGTGATGATAAAAGTTAATGCTATTAAACAGCTTCCCACTCGTCTTGAAATTGTTATTCCAGCACCAGTAACCTTGGCAAGCTGCTGGGCCCATTGCCGATGTATCCTGCAGCTGAAGACAATTATGGCTACGATGCTTGTGCAGTTCTCTGCCTTCCCTGTGTTCCTAACATCCTAGTGATTGCTACTGAATCGGGGATGCTTTATCATTGTGTGGTACTAGAGGGAGAAGAAGATGATGAACAGATGGTATGTTACTGCTACCGTTTGCACTTTTGAGAAAAAGTGTTGATATATGGGAGGAATCTCTATTTCAGTGGTAAAACAAAATGTTCTGCATGCAGTAAGCTCTAACATTGTCCAGATGAAAGAATCAAATTTTAATCGATAGAACAGATCCATGCCTGAGCACCCCAAAAACAGCTTTTTCTTCCAGAAACAGTCTGGGCTAGAGGATGAAATGGCCTGAGTATAAATCCCTTAAAACATTTGTATATATTTTTAGGCATCTGACTGCAGTAGATTCATTTGCTGTATTTCCAGATTTCTTCTAGTGATCTTGCATATTAATTTGAGGTATAATAAACAGTGTGGTGTTACAATATAACCTAGTGACTGTGAGTAGCCAGCCCATAGGTTGCATATTGCTCCCCAGCTCTTTTCACTGCTGTAATTCAGTAATAAAATGGATGACTCAGTTTCATAATTTTGACATTTGGATGTCTTTCAGGGAGGCATTAGGATAATTTGAAAGCCCTCCTTCTGTCACCTCCTTTCTTAATATGTTCACCACAGGTTTAAATAATACCCTAAAGTCTGTGGGTGTGCCCCTTCTAGGGAAACTAGATAGAAGATTGAGAGACTGAGAAGTAGCTTCTGCCTTCGGCAGTGTTTTCCATCACTGCCTGTTATATTGCTGTGCAGACTTGACTTCAAACACAAACAGTTGGAAATGTATGCTCTCTACCCAAGAAATATGTTTTATCCTAACCATTCAAGAGACTGCTGGAAAGGGGAGAAGGTACCCTTGACAGACATTTAAACTGATTGATTACTGATTGAAGTTAAAGTGAGTGCCACTCAATGCAGTTCTGCTCCATGTCCATGGAATAATACTTCTAAGTCAGGGGTGTCAAACTCGATTTTATTGAGGGCCACATCAGGGTTGTGTTTGATCTCGGAGGGCTGGGGTGGGGCTTGTCCAGTGGGTGTGTCCAGAGCTCCATTTTCAATTGCAACAGCCTCCTGCAGCCCTCTGTCAGGGAAAGCGGAGCTCGGGTGGGCCGCGGCCTCCCTGGCCTTGCCCCCCTGTCCACGGATTGGATCTGGCCCACGGGGCTGCCCTGGAAACAGCAGCCCACAGTGCCTCTGCCAGCAAAAACGGGGCTCAGGAGGGCCGAGCTCCATTCCTAACCGGTTCAAGGTTGACTCAGCCTTCCAATCTTCTGAGATTGGCAAAATGAGGACCTAGATTGTTGGAAGCAACATATAAATAATGCTTATATTGTAAACTGCCCAGATAGTGCTGTAAAGTGCTAGACTATATGCTATTGCTATTAACCCAATGTGTCTCAAGGGAATCATGACTTGAAAAATGTTAATATAATCATTCCATTTTTCCCTGCAGTCTGTCAAATCTTGGGATTCCCGAACTGACCTTATTCCATCGCTCTATGTGTTTGAGTGTGTTGAATTGGAACTTGCTCTGAGACTAGCTTCCAGAGAAGGGGAAGAACCTATAGACTCAGATTTCTCCTGTCCAATGAAATTGCACAGAGGTAAGAACACGGGTCATTATGTCCCTTATATTTGTTCTCTTTCACCTTCTCCGTTTAATATCTGATAAACCTGCATTTTAGGGCATATAATAAAATATTTTTTTTAAAAAAAAAATACACATCTGGAAAGCTCGAGCATTGTACCAGGAGCAGGGAAGTTTAAAATCCTGATTAATTCTAATGTTGGCTGGATGACCTTATAGATAGAACAATTGAGACAATAAAATAAAAGGTGAGTTGCAAATGTGACCTTGAAATGGTATTCTTACATAACTTAATGTGGGCTTAGTTGAATACAGTAGATTGTTTAAGTAGAGAAGCAAAGCATTGTACTGTGAGTCTGAAAGAAGTACAGTATGTAAAGATATAAGGTAAATAACTATTTATAGTTTATGTTTTGAGCAGTAATGGCAAATAATCAGAGAGGCTAAAAATTTCCTATTCCAATTATATCAATTTTTTTAGATATGGTCAAAGCAAAATTGTTTCTATAAATCTCTTGCCCTATTTTTCAAGTTGTTTTACTATATAATCATGAGCAACTGAAGGATTGGGAGATGATGGAACTGCTTCATATAAGAAACCTGGCAAATTTCCATTTTTTTAAAAAAAACCTCATATCATCACGTACATGTGTGAAATCTGTCTTGTGTAAATTTGATCATCAATTAACACAAACCATGCTTATGTTTCTCAGATCCCAAATGCTCTTCTCGCTACCACTGCACACATGATGCTGGTGTACATAGTATTGGACTCCCTTGGATCAACAAACTACACAAATTCCTTGGTTCTGGTAAGTAACTTAGTCCCTCCTCGCTTGTAATTCGTTTTTTCTTAAAAATACACATTTAAGTTCTTGCCATTGCCTTCAGTTTAACATATATTAAAAAGGTAAGATATGAATGTGTTCATAACTAGCCTTCAAATTTGGTGGCTTCTACTCTTTGGAGTGCTCTCTCACTGATATTTGGGAAGCAAATACTGCTATATTTTCTAGCAGTATGTCTGCCTTGGATCAGACCTTTCTGTGAGAACACGTTTTTCCTAAATTTATTTTTTCCTCCCTTTTATAATGCATAGTTCATATATACCATAAATGCTTTTATGTTACAAATTTATTTTATTTCGTTTTTCTCTTTGTGTTTTAACACAGAAATATAAAAATATATCAAATGAATAGAGTAGTTTGTGGTGATATCTGAATCCTGCAAATTGGAATTGGTCTTGTGTATTAAATTTGTGGACTTGCTTTTCAGATGAAGAAGACAAAGACAGTTTGCAGGAGCTTGGGGCAGAACAGAAGTGCTTTGTGGAGCATATCCTGTGTACCAAGCCTCTACCATGCAGGTAGGAGCCAGTGTGGCTTCCACCTTTTCTCCCATCAATGTTCTTCATGCAGCTTATCTTTGGAGACCTTTGCTCAATAACTGTTACAGATAGTTGTAACATATGAAAGAGTCAAGAGTATGTTGGCTTTGTTAATAATTTTTATTTTATTTTAATTTATTTTATTTCGAATTTATATACGCTGAATTTATATACTCCCAAGGGACTCAGGGTGGTGTACAGCCAGATAAAAAACATACAATACAAACATTAAAAACAATTAAGAGAATATATATTAATTAATTTTGAACAATGTGTGTTTGGGATAGAGACTGGAAGGGGTGGGGGGTCACGTTTACTGCATTTACCTTGCTCAAGTAGAGTTGTATGTTATAGGAAAAATAATGTTCAAGAGAATCATTGTGAGTTGGATCTTTCATTTTATATATTTAAATGTCTTAGTTCCCAACTTTATACTCTTCAGATATGTTGGATTGTAACCTTCCTTATTCAGGCATGGAGAGTGATTGTGCTGATTAGGGATGATGAATGTTGTAATCGTGGTATATACCTGGCTACTTGAGATACTGTCTCATGTGGTATTTTTTCTTTTACTTTTAAGCATCCCAGAGTTATTGTGCTTATAAATTATATAAATAAATGATAAGCGTCCAAGAGCCATGGTGATCTGAGAATTGTATAAATTAGCAAATACAATCGTCAAACATTTGGTTAGGAAGGTTTGTGCTAGAAAAAAGGAAGGCAATAAGTCACTTCCAGGATTTGTGAACTGAACGTGCCTGGAATCCAGAAATAATCACCTAAATCTTTTTAAGAAGCAGGCAGTACATGTGGATTATACAGCCCATCCAGTTGGAGTTAAATAGCTTCCAATAGAGAGGAAGAAGCTTTTGCCTTTTAGTCTGAATATAGTAAAGATGGCTGTTCTTCTGCCACTAAGACTGCCAGAACTTTTAAAGAGAAATTTTGTTCCTGTAGACAACCTGCTGCAATCAGAGGGTTCTGGATTGTCTCAGATATTCTGGGCCCGACAATGGTTTGCATCACCAGGACCTATGAATGCATTACCAGGCCTCTTCTGTAAGTATGAAGCCATTTATAATCTATGCCCGAGTCATATTTACATTTACTTTATGTTTTCCACAAGTGAAAAACATTGCTGTTTACACGTGCAGTCATAGATTATAAATATATATTTATTTCCTCGGCTTTGCTTAAATTTTAGACCAGTATTTCTTAACCTTGGCAACTTTAAGACAGGAGGGCTTCAACTCCCAGAATTCCCATGTATGCTGGCTGAGGAATTCTGGGAGTTGAAGTCCCCCACTATAAAGTTTCCAAAATTGAGAAACACTGTTTTAGATTGAGGTGGCTTGTTCCACAAATCTTATCAAGGTTACCCACAGATTCAAATGCAGTATTAAACAGTTAAATCAACCTTAATCACTGCTTCACATTTAGAAGTACTCCTCAGATTACATATACTGGTTTCAGATTTTGGTTGACATGGATTTTTAGATTTCCTTGTTTCAATTACATTACCTTGTTCTTGAAAGCATATCTCTTTTTCCTTATATATCTGTTGTTTGGCTAACTCCTTTGTGATATGCTTGCTGGCACCAGCTCTCATTGAACTTGAATTCTTTTAAGTACTTCTGGAGACAATAACTTTTATATGCTCGGCTTTTGTTTAAAATATCTATGAAGTATAGTATTTTAGTGCAGGTCTGCAATGGTATCGGGTTTCCAACCTAGGCAGGGGGTTGGACTAGAAGACCTCCAAGGTCCATTATTCTTTCTGTTTTCCAAAATTCATGGCCTATAACCAATAGCTCAATAACTTTGTAGCCTGTTCAAAACAGAAGTAATGGGGCATCTCTGTTTCTTCCTGCAATAATGCAAATGGCAAATATACCGGTGTGTCTTTTTCCTGGTTTCCAGATTGATTCTATCTCATAGTAAAAGAACACTGTGTCTCCCAAACTAGGCTTAAGCATTTATCTTGCTGTGATTTCCTGGAAAAATCCAATCTGGAAGAAAAATAGATTTAAGAATGTTTTACTGGAGTGTGTGTTGGATGAAAAAGAAAGGGATGAATTTTTCTTCCCTTTCTCTTGCAGTTTTGTAGGCCCTGCTGTGCTTTTTGCCAGCATCTTAGCTACAGGGAGAAAAAGAAACCCCTCACCTTGATTTCTTTAATCTGTTCTCATAGAAAAGAGGGAAACTCTCCTTAGTGGGTTCTTCCTAGAAATATTAGCAGCAAGGTATAACATTGAGTAAGCCTCTCTTTCTGACATTTTCTGCATGAGAGTTATGGATAGGAAGGGCCAATGGCAATACAAGCCATTTTTTTTACAATGGTAGGAGGGTTATAAATATCCAAGGAACTTACTGAAAAGGAGAAAAAAGAAGGCAGAGAAGAATCGTTGATATTAATAGATGCCTGACATTTGTTTTGACAGTTCCGCAGTCCACCCAACGTGCCCTCCGCTTCTGTGCACCAAGGAAGAGCCACAGACGTCTACCACACCTCTCCGCATCCTAGCTGAATCACAGGACTCTTTTGAGAAACATATCCGGAACATCTTGTGTCGCACCTCTGCAAATCCATTGTTGCTGAAGTACAACATCTTTCTCTTTGTGGCAAACCAATTTCACATAAAGTGGATTTCTTGTTGTTGTTACTTTGCTGCTTTTCCTCACCGATGGGCTAAGATAGACCCTTTTCCATGCCTTGGGGAGAGCTTGTGTGTTGTTGCTTGTTCTTTATTTTGGCTGTTGATTCTCATTGCTGCAATTGGCAAACTGCATCTTGTTTGGAATGGACCACCAAACTTGATCTTTTCAGTGGACTCATAATCAGACTTTTCTTTTTCTGTCTGAAAATCTCCCATTCTGTATTTGGACGTTTTTGCATCTTTTCTGCTATTCCCCTAAATCTGTTGTTATTCTTTCATGCAAGGCTGGTAAGACATTCAGAGAATACAAGCCATCTTGCTGGTTCCCACTGAATTATTATGCTCGTAGAATAGTGTCTTCTGGTTAACTAGGGGATAGGGGAATTGATTAGGGAGCTTTATCAAATATTGATTTCAATATTCTTTGTTCTCTTTGAGTACTTTTGATGAGGTGCTCAATGTCTTTCTGTCTATCTATCTACCCTATTTTTTGAGTATAAGACACACTTCCCCCCCCCCCCCAAAGAGGGTGGAAATGTTGGTGCATTTTATACACCAAATACAGCCATTTTTGGCCTCTTGAAGCCCCGCCCCGCTCGTCCATGGTGTGCAGGGTGCGCAGAGAGTTTGAGAGGCCTGCAGAATGCTCCTGGGGGCTGGGGAGGGCAAAAATGCCCCCGTTTTTGTGAAAACGGGCCCATTGTTTTTTTCAAAAACGGCGTTCTTGCCCTCCCCGGCCGCCAGAAGCACTCTGCAGGCCTCCCAAACCCTTTGTGCACCCTATTTTTCACAAAAATGGGCATTTGTGCCCTCCCCCAGCCCCCAGGAGCACTTTGCAGGCCTCCCAGACCCTCTGCACGCCCCGTTTTTAGCAAAAATGGTGTTTTTGCCCTCCCTGGCCCCAGGAGCACTCTGCAGGCCTCCCAAACCCTCTGCGTGCCCTGTTCTTTTGCAAAAACTGGGGGTGGGGGTGGGGGTCCAAAAAATATGTGTATCTATCATCTATTTCATACTTTTTAACTGCCCATCTCCCTCAGAGGAGATGTTTATATATATATGTTTGTCATGTAAATGCATCCTTTTCCAACCTTGGATGTCCCATGTTTGCTTTGTTTTGTTTTTGTAAAGAGCTGCAGATAAAGAGTCTTCCCCTCCCCCAGAAGAATGCCTTCAGCTTCTAAGCAGAGCCACACAAGTTTTCCGGGAAGAATATATTCTAAAACAGGACTTGGCTCGAGAAGAAATCCAGCGAAGGTAACAGTGGTTTTTTGTTTCTAAATTATAAAATCTAAAGTTATTTCATTTCATTTCAGCATTTTCTTACAGTGACTAAAATGAGGGTTTTTAGGTCTTAAGAGTCTGCTGCCCTAAACAAAATAGAGAATAATTCAAAGTGCCACTAATTTTTTTTATTGGATCCAATGTTTTAGAAAAGGGCACTTAAATGATTTGCAACATGTGTATAACAATATTTCTAAAAATGAACAATTCTGTCTGTATGTTATCAAAAAACTTCAGTAAAAGTCTAAAATTGAATTTTGAATCATCTTTTATTTACGGCCTGCCCTAGTTTTGATTTTCTGCTGACTTAAGTATAATACAACTGATAAACCTACACATTACTTTAAAAAATAATCTGTATTATTCTGAGAAAAGCATTTATTCTGCTTCCCCAGTGATTTATTTATCTAACACACTACAAATGAAAAGAAATCCCCTTTTCTCCACATTAACTACCCTGTTTCCCCCAAAATAAGACATCCCCTGATAATGAGCCCAATCGGGATTTTGAGTGCATGGCAATAAGACCAAGGGCTTATTTCAGGGTTCAAAAAAATATAAGACAGGGTCTTATTTTTGGGAAAACACAGTATATCTAATGTTTCTACAGTTTTCTGTCCTTGGAATAGAAGAGTTAATACCATGTTTCCCCGAAAATAAGACCCTGTCTTATATTTTTTTGAACCCTGAAATAAGCACTTGGCCTTATTGCCATGCACTCAAAAGCCCGATTGGGCTTATTATCAGGGGATGTCTTATTTTGGGAACAGGATAGTCGTTTTTGAATAGTTTAATTTCCTTTAAATATTAAAGCCTTAGGTGTTTATCTTCTGCAATAGTGGTTAGAGGAAAACAAAATATGCAGATGGAGGCATTGTTTCCTGCCTAACCTTTAAATCTTTTCTCCGCCTCAGAGTGAAATTGCTGCGTGAACAGAAAAAAAAACAGCTGGACGATCTAAAGTGCTGTGGAGAAGAAAGGTAAAGACCAACCCATTTGTGAGCCATCCCTCCCATCTCCATCCCCCCTTTATTGATTTAAACCATGTAAATTTTATTTCTTAGCCAAAAAGAATCTTAGAATGACCTGTTATTTGAACAGGACAATATGTATTACTTTTAGGGCTTACAGTATAAATGACAGACAGGGGATTGGAGATGAATGTTAGGAGAAACAAGTTCAGCATGAGTTCTCACTGCTATCGGGAGTTCTTTGTCCATCTGCAACACAAGCCATTCATTTAACTGTATGGAATAGCTGCCACCAATGACAGTTATGAGAGATCCAAAATTGATTAATTTCAGGAGAAGAAACTTGTCTCATAGTTAGATGGAATGGTTTAGACTTTAGAGCAAAACCACACAAAGAATTATGATTTTTTTTGGTTCCAAGTACTGGATTGTCCCATGGAAGTAGCAAAAGTCAATGATACTGGCCTCCCGGGAGGTTACACGAGGCTGGCTCCAGGGGATTATAACTGCTTTTCTGAGTGAGGGTGCCTTTCCCGCCGCCTTGAAAGAGGCGGTGGTGAGACCCCTCCTCAAGAAGCCTTCCCTGGACCCGGTTGAATTAGCTAACTACCGTCCGGTCTCCAACCTTCGTTTTGTGGTGAAGGTTGTTGAGAGTGTGGTGGCACGACAACTGCCCGGGCACCTGGATGAAGCTATCTATCTAGACCCGTGCCAGTCGGGCTTCAAGCAGGGGCACAAGAACGGCATTGGTCGCGTTGGTGGATGATCTCTGGAGGGCTCGGGACAGGGGTTGCTCCTCTGTCCTAGTCCTATTAGATCTCTCAGCGGCTTTTGATACCATCGACCATGGTATCATGCTGCAGCGGTTGAGGGGGTTGGGAATAGGGGGCACCGTTCTGTGGTGGTTCTCCTCCTTCCTCTCCGACCGCTTGCAGTTCGTGTTGGCAGGGGGGCAGAGGTCGACCTCGAGGCGTCTCGCATGGGGAGTGCCACAAGGGTCGGTCCTCTCGCCGCTTCTGTTCAACATTTATGTGAAGCCACTGGGTGAGATCATCCGTGGTTTTGGGGTGAAGTGTCATCTGTACGCTGATGACACTCAGCTGTACATCTCCACCCCAGACCACCCCAACGATGCCCTTGATGTGATGTCTTGCTGCCTGGAGGCCGTGCGGGTCTGGATGGGGAGGAACAGGCTCAGACTCAACCCATCCAAGACCGAGTGGCTGTGGCTGCCGGCGTCCCGATATAGTCAGCAGGTGCCATCGCTGACTATTGGGGGTGAATCTTTGCCCCCCACAGAGAGGGCTCGCAATCTGGGTGTCCTCCTGGACGCACGGCTGTCTTTAGAAGAGCACATGATGTCCGTGGCCAGGGGGGCCTTTTATCAGGTTCGCCTGATCCGCCAGTTGCAGCCCTTTCTGGACCGGGACGCCTTGCGCACGGTCACTCATGCCCTTTTCACCTCCTGGCTGGACTATTGTAATGCTCTCTACATGGGGCTCCCCTTGAAGAGCACTCGGAGGCTCCAACTGGTCCAGAATGCGACCGCGCGGGTGGTTATGGGCGCAACTCGTTGTGCCTGTGTGACACCCCTCCTGCGCGAGCTGCACTGGCTCCCAGTGGTCTTCCGGGTGCGATTCAAGGTGCTGGTTACCACCTTTAAAGCGCTCCATGGCATAGGACCCCGGTATCTTCGAGACCGACTTCTGCCACCAGTAGCCTCCCACCGGCCAGTCCACTCCCACAGAGAGGGTCTCCTCAGGGTGCCATCAGCCAAGTTATGTCGGCTGGCGACACCCAGGGAGAGGGCCTTCTCGGTGGGAGCCCGAGCCCTGTGGAATGAACTGCCCCCGGAAATACGTAAGATCTCCGACCTCCAGGTGTTTCGTTGCGCATTGAAGACCCTGTTGTTCCGCCAGGCCGGGCTATCAACATAATGATTTTAAATTGGGGTATTTTAAATTTTTGGGGTTTTAAACCGGCCAAATCTATTTAATTATTTTAAATTTTAATCATTGTTGTGTCTTGTGAGTCCTTCGGGAGAAGGGCGGTATAGAAATAAAATTATTATTATATTATTATTATTATTATTATTATTATTATTATTATTATTATTATTATTATTAATATCCTCATACAGAAAGTATTTTAGATTCACACACATTCAATAGCTCGAATGGCTTGGGTTATAGCTGATTATGGAGATCTTCACATCATCCAGGTCATGGTTGTCCCAAAGGTGCTTTTCCAAAAGGCAATGAGTCATTCTTGGTGGGTTTTTTTCTTGAAAATGTTTCACTTCTCATCAAGAAATGGAACCGAAGAAGCTCCTTGGATGAGAAGTGAAACTTTTTCAAAGAAAAAAACCAAGGAAGTCCAGTTACTCTTTGGAAAAGTATCTTTGGGACTTGGGTTGTAGAGTTGCAAAAACCCATTTGTGCAAATTCACCTATCTTAGACTGGGAGAGCCAGGCATTATAGGGAGCAATTTGTATGATTACTGACCCAGGTTGCTGAATCTCAACCTCGTTACTTAATTAAACCATTTTCTGAGGTTGTAAAACTGAACTGTACACTAACCAGATTGTTCATGTTCAACTTGCTAAACTATGAAATAATCTAACCAAGGTTAACGTGAGCATGCATCTGCTGGGTGCAATATTCTAACCATTATCCATGCTGGCAAAGAATTGGAGGTTCATGGGAGGAAGCTTCTGTCTTAAGTTTCACATTAAACAAAGGAATGCATAGGGTAGAGGACAGGGGTGGATTCTACTTACCTTTACTACCGGTTCGCAACGGGGCCACTCGCACGCACGCTGTTTGCATGCGCAGAAGCATTTTGATGATGTCGGGGTCGGTGGGTGGGGCCTCCCGCCGGTTTTACTACTGGTTCTATAGAACCAGTGCAAACTGGGGGCAACCCACCACTGGTAGAGGACCTATTTCTTCTCCCACCCCAAGAATTGTAATTCCTATGAAGTAAGTTGTATACTAGCATTTAAGGAAGTCTTATGTTGCTCAGTCCAGACATAGGAGAAAACTTACTTTATTGAATTTATTGTGTTTGGACGGATGCTTTTGGACCTTTCCCTTTTTCCTCTTTAACATTACCAGGCCTAACATTTAGCTCCTTTTAGGTGAAACTTAAGTTAAGTTGTACATTCTGTATTTTAGTGCTCTTCTGGTTCCTCATAGATGCTGCTACTAGGGATCATGGAAGTTGATTTGCAATGAATGTATCCATTAGAAACTGAGCGAAATTACTCAAGGAATAAATACATTTTGTGTATTATAATGCTGTAATGTGTAAAAAAAACAAAGGTGTGCTGCTGTCCTGAAAATAACATTTTGTTTTCTCATAAAGGAAAAGCTTGAGGGAGATGGCAGAGCGTTTGGCTGACAAATATGAAGAAGCCAAAGAGAAACAAGAGGATATTGTGAACAGGTGGGGATATCTTACTAGAGGCTCTTCTGATTAGCTGAAGTAACTGCAATTATCTAACTTCTTGCCAAAGAAACTGTTGTAGAAGCCTAGTCATTAAACTGACTAAACTGAACTACTTTGTAAATTATAATACATATGTTAATAGAAGAAAGCCAAGAGCCTTGATAGTACAGTGGTTATGCACCCTGGTATTAACACAGCTGCCTGCAATTTACTGCTGGTTCGAATCTCTCCAAGGCTCAAGGTTGACTCAGCCTTCCATCCTTTCTAAGGTAGGTGAAATGAGGACCCAGTTTGTGGGGGCAATAAGCTGACTTTGTATAAATATACAAAAGGATGAAGGCTATTGCTTAACGCATTGTAAGCCGCCCTGAGTCTCCGGAGAAGGGTGGCATATAAATCAAATTAAAAAAAAAAAAAAAGTTTATGGAAAGGCAGTTTCAGGCTACACTCCTAGCAAAATGAAAATGGATAAGCAGTTTTACCTCTGGAACTGTTTCACTTAAATACCAGATAAACATACTGGGTTCACAGATTCTGCCAAGTCAAACCAAAGTCAATTATTGTCGTTTAGCTCAGTGAAAATGACTTTAGCTGTATTTAGCTTTTTAGAAAAAAAGGGGCTGCTAGTTTTCTAAAAATTACTTATTACTGTACTATTGCACCTCTTTTTTCCTTGTCAAACATCAAACAGCTAGAGTAACCAATAAGTCTGCTAATATTTAATTAGCAAAATGAAACTAATTTACTTTTCAACAAAAGTGTACATCACACCTAACCAAATAAACTAAAATCTACAAATAAATTTGAAAGGAATGGTTATATATTGTACAAGTGTAGCACCATTCTGAGAAGATATTTAGTTACGTAGTCTGAAAATGCATAGCAAATCTCCATCTCCACTGCCCCTTGTTAGAAACCTGACTTCTTTTTTTTTGTGGCTACAGGATGAAGAAAGTTCTCCGTAGTTTCCACTCACAGCTGCCTGTCCTTTCCGACAGTGAAAAGGATATGAAGAAGGAGCTACAAACAATACAAGAGCAACTGAGGCATTTAGGCAATGCTATCAAGCAGGCAAGTGGCTTCTCATTTCTAAAAATATACCTAGAAAAATAAAATGAGGGGTCCTTGGTGCTCTCTGAACTTGTTATTCTGCAGACATTTCACTACCTTAACTAGGTAACATCATCAGTGCTAGTAAGGAGTGCTGTTTGTTGTCAGTTTATATTCTGGTGAGCTGCCTGTCTGTGTGGGTGGGGGCGGTCTTAGGGATTCTTTGGTTGGGCTGTTTACTGATGGCTCTTTGGCAGTTTCTTGATTGGGGTATTGCTTTCTTGATTGGTGGTCTGAAGTTAACCTAGCAGTTAATCTATGCTGATCTGAGTGCTGATTACTGGTGGAAAGGTGGAGTCGTCTTTTTCCGTTTTGGGCTGGTGAATTATCTCTTTTGAAGATGTTAATGTCTATGTGTCTATTGAGGGCTGATTTGTCAGAGTACCAGGCTTCTAGAAAGTCCCTGGCATTTTTGGACTTTGCCTGGTCTAGGATTGTCACATTTTCCCAATTGAAACTATGGTTAAATCTGTCTATACGTTGTGAAATTAAAGGATTTTTGTCATGTCTTCTGACTGCCAGTTGGTGTTTATGGATGCATTCTGCCAGTCTTCTACCTGTGCATCCATACCAGGGGTGTCAAACTCACGTTGTCATGGTGTCATCACATGATATATTGTGACTTTTCCCCCCTTTGCTAAACCGGGCGTGGGTAGTGCATGACGCATTTGGCCCGCAGGCCATGAGTTTGACATCCCTGGTCTACATAGTGATTGTTGCAGTTCTTACATTGTTCTTACTGCAACAACGAAACAGGGAATTTCTAGAAGCCTGGCTCTCTGACAAATCAGCCACCAGTAATCAGATCTCAGATTAGCATAGATTAACTCCAAGCTTAACTTCAGACCAACAGTCAAGAAAGCAATACCTCAATCAAGAAACTGCCAAAGAGCCATCAGTATAAGCTGACAGCGAACAGCACTCCTTACTAGCACTGATGATGTTACCTAGTTAGGGTAATGAAACGTCTACACCCGGAGGCTCCAGTTGGTCCAGAATGCAGCCGCGCGGGGGTTATGGGAGCGACGGGGCACTCCCATGTGACACCTCTCCTGCGCGAGCTGCACTGGCTTCCTGTGGTCTTCCGGGTGCGCTTCAAGATGTTGGTGACCACCTTTAAAGCGCTCCATGGCTTAGGGCCAGGGTATCTATGAGACCGCCTTCTGCCACCAATAGCCTCCCACCGGCCAGTTCGCTCGCACAGAGAGGGCCTCCTCAGGGTGCCGTTGGCCAGACAATTGTCAGCTGGCGACCCCCAGGGGGAGAGCCTTCTCTGTGGCAGCACCTGCCCTCTGGAACAACCTACCCCCAGAGATACGCACGATACCAGACCTCCGGACTTTTTGTCGGGCCCTGAAAACACATTTCATCTAGCCGGGCTGGCTTGACCCCATCCTTGCGGTTTTAAATTTATAATTGGTTTTAACTGGGTTATTTTAAATTGATGGCCAAAATTATTTAATGTTTTTAAATTGCTTTTAAATTTTATATGTTGTGTTTTTACCATGGCTGTTCACCGCCCTGAGTCCTGTTGGAGAAGGGCAGTATACAAATTAAATAAATAAATAAACAAACAAACAAACAAAAACAAATAAATAAATAAAAACACGCTTAGAGAGCACCAACCCTGATTTACAAATATTCTCCTTTATGAGAACAATAAAAGTAACTTTTGAGGTGTTTCTCCATATTGATTCCCTGTACTCTAGGTTAAAATGAAAAAGGATTACCAGCAAAGAAAAATGGAGAAGGGAAATAGTCCACAGAAGCCGAGCATCAACCTCAGCACCTATCAGAGGAAATGTATCCAAGCTGTTCTGAAAGAGGAGTAAGTCAATTGCTTGCTGAACTGATTATTTTCTTGCATAATTAATATTTGACTAATAGCAAATGCATGCATGGTGCACAGACTTCCATCTTGGTTTAGTTTCTAGGCTGCTGACAGCTGCTATACTAAGGCTGTCTATAAGTGTTACATTTTGGTCAGAATTGTATAGGTCCTAAATATTAGTGTGTTTACCAGCTTTGTGAGAGTGACAGACAACCTCCCCCCACCCCCAACCAAAAAAAAAAAAAACATTTCCAGTAAGAGGAAGGCAATTTGTGAGCCTCTGTAGGTATTAAGTTATACATAAAAAATTACTGGACTAACCAAAATACATAAAATTTAAAGATTTAAATTACAAACTGTCTTTCTTACTACCCTTGCTCAATACTAACATAAAGAATTTTTTTTTTCTTTCAGAGGAGAACACATTCAGGAGATGGTGAAACAAATAAATGACATCAGGAATCATGTCACCTTTTAGTCATCAGACTAAGGACTTACATTTTTGGAATATTAAACGTAACCAGCTGCCTTTTTCCTAATTTATAAACTGAACTGTTTTTACAAAAAGAGCCACTATTAAATACTCGTTACTCATGATTGTAACGCATGTTGCAGCATTCTACAGAAGGTATGATGCTAAAGACATTTGACTTCCGCCCTTTTGATACTTCGTGGGGAAAAATAAGGCAACTTTGTACTTCTTGTGACTTCAACTTAAATATATGTTTGTGATAACACACTGTTCATTTCAAAATAAAAATCAATACAACCACTGTATATATCTTTCCGTATAGATCATCTTCTGAGCTAACTGTATGAACCCTTCTTAGCTCATCAGTACAGTACATTTAAATAGAAAGAAGGTATGAAAAGAATTGCAAGACTTTTTTCCTTTAATTTGGAACACTTTTGCAGGATACACCTCCAATACAGTTAACAAATGGTTACATTTTTTAATTCAATAGACAGGATAATTTTACATCCACAGTTTCACAGGACACCAGTGGCTTTTGCTGGAATGCAATATAATTCCAAAAGTGTGGAATTTGAAGGCTAGTTTTTTTTGTTTTTTTTTAAATTAAGGGGCTTTATAGATTACTTACCCATCTCCCACCCTTATCCTTGGCCACACTGTGTTGTTAGAAGCTATATAGTTATGCCATAGGAGATACAAAAGTGAAAGTAAACCATTTGACATGTTGGAAGAACCTATTGTGCACATATTAAGACTACAAGTCTTCCAGTAATTCTTTGACCTTTTAGTATACATTTTGCATACAAAAGGACTGTACAAGTATGCAGAACAGAGCCAGCCTTACTGTTCTTTCCTCTCATTTTGCACACAATCCATGTTTAAATCAGTACTGGTCATTGCATTATACCTATTTGTAGTAACTAAGCCTTTGAATGAGAGAACTGAAAACTAATGGCATAAATTAATTATTCCTTTACATTAAAAAAGTCAGAGTCATACAGCCTTTTTAAAAAAAGTTGATTATGAAAGCAATTCATTTTCAAGATCAATTTTGAAAAATGAGGATTTCCTGTCATTAAAACAAATTTTCCCTTTTTAAAAAATTTGTGTGAACTAGCAGCATATTATTATTCTCAGATTTGTGGACTTGTGGATTTACAGTATTACATTGTCAATATTTGTTTAATTATATGTATAAATTTTAAATGTAGTACTACAGATCTTCCCTGCATTCTCTTCCACAATAGTTTAATTCTTTCCCCAATGATTCTGAAATATTTCTAGGCTTCAGGATGAATAGCAGAACAGTACTTAGTCACTATGCTAAATAGAATATTATGCATCCGATTCATGGTATAATCCTTTCAATATGTGTATCATATCTTAGGGATTATAGCATTGCCTCCCAATTAACACAACATGTGGTTTTTAGTCAATTTAATACAAATGCTTAGATGAGATTGACCATATTTGGCAGGGATCTTTGAAAATGCTCCTTTCCTAAAAGGAAAGCCATCTTTGCTCAAATTTAATGATGTACTAATTGCACGAGCAGGATTAAGAAAGAAGGGTTCAGTCCATTTCTAATACGATATTAAAGATGCAAAGAAACATGCTAATGAACTTCATTAGAGTAAGCTCTTCATTTCTAAGTAAGTCCACTCCTCTCTATTTTCCCTGCAATATTTTTCATATTTTTTTTTCTAACCAGCAGGTTGAAACAGACTGGATACCAGCAAATGCTCTTTGATTTTGTACCAATTACATAGTTAGAACTTACATGGAATCAAGTTGCCCCCTCTCCTCCTCCACCTCACCTCGATTACTATCCAGAAAACCTGAAACAGATAAACTCAGTTGCCCACTTAAAAAGTGAAATAGAGTGATAGTTTTCTTTCAACAATGGGAAAGTACTCAAGCTGCCCACATCGATCTACAAACTAGATATTGGATCAATACTTGCTTGTTCAAGAAGCAAGTAATAATAAACATGATTAAATTAGATTGATTCTGGTCTCTAGAAAATGAATGTCATAACTGATGGTTACTCTCTTGATAGCAGGTGTGGAAGAATTGGGAATGAACACTTGCTTGCAACTCCATTAGCCCATTTCAACACTGATCTGTTCAACTGCTGCTGACCACAAGAATAAAAATCCAATAGAAATACAAATTAAACACATTTTATCTACTTTACACTCATCCTATTTAAAACAGCTCCTAGGAGTTCATAAGCTCTTATTGGAAGCCAGGTAATCATGCAGCCTCCTGACTGGAAAAAAATTAATAATTTAGTTTTAATTTAATTATTTTAAAAGTTCCATTTTAAATTTAGAGAAGCATCTTCCTTTTCCCTCAGAGTTGAATCACAGCAAATCAGTTGCATTTGGGTTCTGCTGGAACCTTTCTATTATGGAGTTTAATGCATCTTGCGTGGTCTGATTGTAAGTCCAGAACAAGATTTTTCAGACATGTATCGTGAGCTTTTTCAAGAGAAGCATTTCAGCCCAAGCATAAACATAACTGCAGCTTCACAAACATTTCCTATCTGAGGTGTTGCAGCATTATCTTAAATGTATAATTTTAAACCCAATTTTTAAACAAATACAAAGCAAAAGGCCTTTTAGAACACTGGTGTCAAACCTGCCGCTTCATGTTGCCGTCGTGCAACATTTTTCCCATTCGTGGAGCTGGGGTGGGCATGGACTGCACGTGATGCATTCAGCCTACGGGCCGCCAGTTTGACACCCCTATTCTAGAATCTGGGTAGAGATTCACAAAACATCTCTGTACTATAAGTATGATACGGCTTAGGTTTTTTACACCATGGTAATCAAATGTGTATTGATAAATGTGATTAACTCAAGTCCATGTATTTCAGTGAGAGAAGTGTAATGCTGGATCCAGCCATATGCTGATATTGTGCAATGTAGCTTTTTTTGGGGGGGTGGGGGGTGGAGTAATGAGAGATACTAAAGCAATTTATTTTCATTTGCTTTTCTTTCGATGAAGATTAACCTTCACTTCCCTGACCTTTGTGTCTTAAGAATTTAGGTGACTTATTTCCCCATTCTAATTATCCATTTTCCCCCTGTGCCTTAGGTTCTTTTTGGAAAATTTGCAGCCTTCTCTCTAATCCTCTTCTGCCCATACGCTGTCCATATTTTTAGTTGGGGGCTCTTCCAGCACAACATTTCAAGGTACAAAAAATGTACTGAGCTAGAAAAACCCAAAATCCAGTGTCCTGCAAATAAATTCATATTTTAATATAAAATATTAATACAATATACTATTTTCCCCTTCTGCCCAACTTGCTATTGTAACTTCACTCCAAAAGATTTGGGGTGGGATGGGAGGAGATGATTTTCAGCGACTACTTTCATCACGGTATTTTAACAGGGTATGGACGAGAGGGAGGGAGGGAATGCCGTATTCCAGGATTACGTGGCGGGGGGGGGGTAGAGAGAGCAGGAGGATGAAGGTAGATGAGTTATATGGAGAAGTCCAACTACTACACTGAAGGCAGATACCCTGGAGGATCCTGCCAATCTTCTCAGTGTGAAACTTTCTTTCCACCCAGAAAACCTTCCTCTCCCTCCCAGAAACACAACCTGGACCATGGCTCTTGTGTCATCCTTCTGCTCTTTCAGTTAGAATTAAATAATTATTAAAGGTTTTGCTATAAAGAGGAGGGTTTAAAAAAAAACAACCAAAATGTAGCTTTGCAGCTCTGCTACTGAGGCTGTCATGTTTCAGGTAGTTGATTAATGTCAGTCAGTTTTGTATCATTGAGGATTGCACGAATTCTCTCCAGGGAATCTGCCTGCCGGATCCGTTCCAACTGGACCTGAGCAAAAATGAGCAACACATAACATTAACAGAATGACTATCTGTAAGGGGGATTGAGTTTCTCTTAGTTATAAACTTTAAAGAGCAACAGATTTATTTATAAATAGACACATAGGTTGAGGTACTGGGTACGCTTAGCCTGGAAGCTGTAAGATTACAGGGAGACATGAAAGCAGTCTTCAAAAATCTGGAAGCTGGGGAGTAACTAATTCAGAGTGGTTTCAGAAGGCAGGACAAGGAACAATTGCTTAAATTTAAGAAGGAAAATCTGGGTTGGCTCTCGGGAAACGTTTCTAAATGGCAAGGGCTGTTCCAAAAATGTAACGGACTGCCTAGGGAGGGGGTGGATTTTCCTCTGCTGGAAATTAAACAGAGCCTGGATGGATAGTAGATTCTGCATCAAGCAAGGAGCTGGCCTGGATATCCTCCAAGATCGCTTCCTACGCTTACATTCTAGTATTCTCAAAGAAAAAAGAAGATTTCTCCCCTGAGCATGAAATAACTGTATGGAAGAACAAAATTTAGCAAGACCTATTTTACTCATCACCATTATTTGTGGGAAGGACCTAGTGGATCTTGTGACCTTGGAAGGTAGGAGCAACCAAATAGGACAATATCTGACAGAATCGTAATTCAAAGATGTTTAAAGATAAGTCGGCTAAATGCTAGAAGTGCCACCAGATAGATACCTGGGTCATATTATCATATGTGGTAATTTTTGCTCAAAGGCAAAAAAATATTGGACAAACATACATATGTGGCTGGAAAAAATGATAAAGCAGCATATTGATTTAAAGCCAGAAATATTCTTGTTGGGGATTTTATCCAAAAAATATAGTAAGGGGAATGTATATCTAATTATCTATATACTAACTGCAGCTAGAATTGTATTTGCACAAAATTTTAAAAGTGAAGAGATCCCCACAGATGAGAATGTGATCAGGAAAATATTAGAATGTGCAGAAATGAATAGACTAACGCTAGCAATTAAGGAAAAAAGAACAAACTAAATATTATATGACACGAGATTTATTTTATCAGTGGTTAGATAACAAAAATGGAAGTTAGAAACAGAGAAACAAAAGAAAAAGATTAGTGAAATGAAGATATGTTAAGAGAGAGAAACAAATATTATGATTATTATGTTTAATATTATCATTTTAATATTATAGAATGTTAATGTAATGAATATTGTTGTAAATCTTGATTATTATTTTACAAAGATATCTGTACCTGGACGACACACAGTTTAATTGAAGATGGAATTATTATATTTTTTTTAAAAAACAAAACAAAAAAACGTAATTCTAGTAGCTAGAAAAATCCAAGAACAGACACTTTTCACTGTCTTTGTTCCCAAGTGATCACCTTACCTGAAGGGTCTGAGAAAGCTTAACGAAATCTCTCTGTACTTGTTCACTGACATCCAATTCTGTCTGAAGCCGTTGAGCTT